AGTTTTTTTTTTTTTTTTTTTTTTTTTTTTTTTTTTTGAGAGATTTCTCTGTGTAGCTCTAGCTGCCCTGGAATTCACCCTGTAGACCAGGCTGCCTTGAACTCAGAAATGTGTCTGCCTCTGTCTTCTGAATGCTGTAATTAAAAGCATGTGTCATGGCCACCCAGCCCCAGACTCTTTTTATTTTGGTTATTACCCAAATCTAGTATATGGTATCTGAGGATAAGTAGAAGTTAGTGTCCATTTTTTAGGTGGTTAGTACTGTTGGAACTTTGTAGTACTGTGTCTTCTGTGTACTTTAAAGAACAAATGAAAGAATACATTTAATATCTGAGCAGCTTATGGAAGCCAAAGAAACATTTACTTTGAATTTACAGATATAAGCACTGCCTAATAAATGAAATCAGGACCCTCAAGATGGCTTTAGTAGCTGGGTATTGGTGGCGCACGCCTTTAATCCCAGCACTTGTGGCAGACAGATCTCTGAGTTCCAGGCCAGCCTGGTCTACCAAGAGAGTTCCAGGACAGGCTCCAAAACAATACCCTGTCTAAAAAAAAAAAAGCTTTAGTGCCCCTCTGTTCTGTTCAAGATATATGTAGTAAACAGGATAAGGTGGTGGTGTAGCCTTAATCTCAGGATTTGGGGTTGGGGGGGAATCTCTGAGTTCAAGGCCAGCCTATACCAGAGAGTGATTTCCAGTACAGCCAGAGTTATGTAGAGAGACCCTATCTCCAAGAGAAAAAGAAAAAAGATACGTGTAGTAAGGGGGAGAAAAAGGAGATATGTGTAGTAGGGTTTTAGGCATGCTGTGTGTGTTTGCAATCCCAGTACACGGGAGGCTCAAGCAGAATTGTGGATTTAAAGCCAGCCCTGGCTATATAGTGCTGTAACAATTGTCCATATAAATAATCTACATAGATGATGTATGCATATAACCTAAGTGAGTATATGTAATAGGGCTGGGAGTGACTGAAAAATGTCTAGTGAATAAAATAAATTCTAGAGTAAGCAAGTTCTAACTCAGCTTGTCATTTATAGCAAAGAGATGCCGTTCAGCTAACAGAAGTTGTCATGAGTAGTAGACTGCTTAACTAGACCCCTGGAGCAGATCCCCAGGGCTGGATCTATACTCACCTAACTTATGATTGGTTGAACCGGGGCAACTTATTCACTGCAATTCTGTTTTCTACAAAGTGTGTAGTAATGCGTTTTCTATAGCATCTAGATTTTAAAGAGGAAGTACCTGTAAAGTCCTTGGCACACTGCTTGTTAACATTCACTGTTGTTAAAACCAGTACCTGGAATTATGTTACAGGCAAGCTTGCTGAAGGAAACATGGTACAAATATTCAATACAAGACAGTTGGTGGTGGCACATGACTGTAATCCCAACAGTGTCCTGGTACAGCCAGCCAGGAGTATTGCTGCAGGTTTGAGACCAGACAGGCCTAGCTTTAAAGAACATGTCATAGCAAACAAAAACACCAGTGTTACGTTGTATGTCTGTGATCCTAGCACTTGGGAGCCTGTGGCAGGGTTGCATGAGGAGAGTGTTACGTTGTATGTCTGTGATCCTAGCACTTGGGAGCCTGTGGCAGGATTGCATGAGTTCAAACTCAGGCTGGGCTATATGCAGTGAGTTTCAAGCCAGCCAGGGCTACATAATAGGACCCTGTCTCAACAAAAACTCTATCCATCTATCAATAATGAATATGTTTACAAAGTAAATATGTATTTCTGTATGTCGTGTAAGTGAGAACTTCAATGTGGTCTTTACGGATATACATATAAATTCTGACTAAAGTCTATGGAAGTTTTTTGTAAAATTATAAAATTTACATATCATGAATAGAATTTTACATTATCTTAGTTTGTACATGTGTATATGAGTTCCCACACACCAGAGTGTGAGTGTGGAGGTCGGAGGACAAACTTTCAGGAGTTGGTTCTCCCCTTCCACAGTGTAGGTTCTGGGAAACTAAACTCAGGTCGTCTGGCTTGGCACCAGGTGCCTTTACCCGATGAGCCATCTGGCTGGCCACAAGTAGAATTTTAAAAGTGAACCTTTGAGATGTTACTTAAGGGTTTTGTTCTTTTCCCTTCTGTATGTTGTGAGCAGCCTGGCAATTATTTACGGCGTGTTCTCTGCTTCCAATTTGATTACTCCCTCTGTGGTTGCCATCATAGGACCTCAAATCTCTATGTTCGTCAGTGGCTTGTTTTATAGGTGAGTAATTCTTCCCCCCCCTCCCCTGTTTAATTTAGGGCACACACTTTAGCCCATCTTTCAAGTACAGTGGAGAGTAGTTGTTTCTGGCGCTCTGCTTTTTGCTCAGGAACACTGTATTTTTATTTTTATCTTTTTAAAAAATATTTATTTATTATGTATACAGTGTTCCACTTGCATGTATCCTTGCAGGACAGAAGAGGGCACCAGATCTCATTACAGATGGTTGTGAGCCACCATGTGGTTGCTGGGAATTGAACTCAGGACCTCTGGAAGAGCAGCCAGTGCTCTTAACCGCTGAGCCATCTCTCCAGCACCAGGAACACTGTATTTCTAACCAATGAGTGTGTGTCAAGTTGGATTTGTGTTTGAGACAGGGTCTCACCATAGCACAGACCCAGGCTGGCCCTGAACTGGCCATCCTCCTGGCCTAGCCTTCAGAGGCCTGATGTTATCATCAGGTTCCTGCATGTCTGGCGCATATCAGCTTTTGTCTCACTATTAATAGTTAGAATGCAAAACCCTCTTTCTGTGAGGGTTGAAAAGAACCTTCCATGAAATAAGTTCCCTTTCTGTTAAGTGAGTGAGCAGACTTATGTGAAATGGAGAAATGTTTCTAGCTTGAGCTTCATCCTTCATTGAGCTCATGGTGGAAGCTGTTGCAAACCTGTGAAATCTGCATTTACAAGCTTGAGGTGGTAAACAGCAGTAAGTGGCTTGGGCTGCAGGAGGCTCAGTGGCCGAGCATCTGCCTGTCATGCATAGGCCTGAGCTTGATCTCTATTCTGGGAGCAAAAGAAAAAAATTTTTAAAATTCCAAAATCAATTCACATGTATCCTTTTCCAAAAGCACAATCCAAGAAAGTGCTTTCCAGGTGGAAGCTGAGGCTGAGAACCTGTGAGGACCTCAGCGTTCTGTGTCACGTACTGTTTGACTGTAATGCACTGACCTGTTGTATTTTAGCATGTACATTGCCGTTTTTATCCAGCCTTTCCCATGGTCCTTCTACACGGCCTCTGTTTTCATTGGAATTGCAGCTGCTGGTGAGCATGGATCGCCTTTGCCTGCTTTCCCGGGGTATGGGTGCTGTTTACATGATACTCAGGAAACTGCCTGATGTCCTTCCTTTGACGAGCTTTTGGTTTGAATTTTAGTGCTTTGGACAGCACAAGGAAACTGCCTGACCATAAATTCCGATGAGCACACAATCGGGAGAAACAGTGGGATTTTCTGGGCACTCTTACAATCCAGGTAATCCCTTTGGAGCTCAGTCTGTCTGTGGGTTTCTCTATGCATCATTTACCTGTACTTTATTGTGTGGGGTACAGATTCATACTTTATGAATTGATGTGACTATTTTACTAAAATTTAAAGTTAGGGAACAAAATATTAACCTCCATGTATTTAGCATCCTCTGCATCTTAGGTCTTTTGGGTTATTTGTTTAATTTCATATTATCTTCACACAAACTTAGGTAGAAGGCATTATCTGTATCCTACAGATGAGAAAATGGAGACTGAAAGTTAACCCATGTAAATATGGTTATCTGGAGTCCGTTAGCCATGTCCTTCCTGCCAAGCTGGGCTGTCTGACAGCTGTTAATAAATACAGCAAATTCAGAAGGGAGAACAGTGGTGCTACTTCCGAACAGCACAGCATAGGAGATGTTTCAAAGGAAAGAGCAGCAGCATTGGCCACTCTGCTTGGGACTGTTGGGTGTCACTAGTGTGTCCTGAAAGGCTTGGAGTAGTGTGGTGGACTTGTAATTCCAGCACCCAGGAGGTAGAGGCAGGGAGATTGCAGTAAGTACAAGGCTAGCCTAGAGCATGCAGATGGCTCCGTGGATAAAAGCCTGCCACCAGACCTGAGGACTTGAGTTCTATCCCTAGACCCTCATGGTAGGAGGAGAGAAGGACTGTTCTCCTATTGTATACTGTAGCACTGCCATATGCACCTCCTGCCATCTGCAAACGGCCAAATGTAATACAAATTTTTAAAAGAATTTTGGTTTGAATGTTTAGTTCATGGTTGGTGGTAGGGTGTGTGTGTGTGTGTTTGGTTGAAGCTGATTAGGAGTCTCACTAGGCTGGCCTTGAACTCCTCCACTCAGCGTGGTCATTTTGCTTCAAGCCTCCCAAGTAGCTGAGGCTGTAGGTGCACCTCACCATGCCTGGTGCAGTTTAGTCTTAAGGGGTAGAGATTAAGAAACAGGACAGTCAGTGACTGGCCATTCCTCAGGAAAGTCTGCCAAACAGTTGGAGATGGATATTTAAATCCCAAGCTTGTTCATAGAGTCCTTAAATTTTAGGGTTTTACAGGTGGCATGAGTTTGCTTCCAGTTTACTTGGAGAGTCCCAGTAGTCACATGTGTCAGTGAGTCATGTCCTCTAGGGCGGGGCTGAGTCACATGCATCTGGGTCGTTAAAGTCTCAGAAAAGTCAGGTGGAGTTGATAATGTTAAGTAACCTAGGACAAGCAGGGTCTTTAAAATCACACACACCCACCCCCCCACACACACACACACACACACACACACCTACCTCTTCCCCTCTTCCCCTCTTCAGATAATGGCAGTGATGTTTTAAAAGCCTTAAGTATGAGCTGGGCACAATGGCCCGAGTCTTAATCCCAGCACTGGGGGAGGCAGAGGCAGGTAGGTCTCTGAGTTCCAGGCCAGCCAGAGACCCTGTTTTAAGTAAATGAACAAGTAAACGTAACCCCACCCCCACCCCCAAGGATTCCAGTGATCCCCAGCGTCTTCTCCCTTTCTCCCCCACAGCTTGTTCTTTGGAAATCTCTACATATATTTTGCCTGGCAAGGGAAAACTCACATTTCAGGTTGGTCTTATTCACATTGCTTTATTGAGATGGTTTTGACAGCAGAGCAGCAGTTCTACAGAAGTGTTGGTCACTGCTCTGTCATTCCTGTGACCTTTAGCACCCTGAAGGTCCCTACAGATACTTGCTTTTTCATAAGCTTTTGCCTCAGCTTCATTAAGTGAAGGTCAGAGTTCATGGTTGTGCTTTGCTGAGTGTGCACATGGTAGCCAGGCTCCTGAGGGTTTGTGAGTGTTCCGTGGTTGGATCTGGGCCCTCCTGCAGTTGGAAGAGACAGTTCTGTTCTTGTTCTGTTGCTTCTTTGGCTTGTTAGCTTACCTCTAGCTGAAAGACAAACATAAAAGTGGCTATTTCTTCCTAAATTTTTACTGATGCCTTGAAATAAAAATATAACAAGGAAGTGTTTTGCTGCCTAGCAATAACCAGCGGACACGGCACTAACTGGCATTGTTTCATCATCGCCGTCCACTCTCTCCTCTTGTCCCTAGAGAACGACCGGAGGACAGTATTCATTGCCCTGACAGTGATAAGCCTCGTGGGGACAGTTCTGTTCTTTCTCATTCGGAAACCGGACCCTGAGAATGTCCTTGGGGAAGAGGAGTCTTGCGATGACCAGGACATGGAAGCCCCTGAGTAAGATGCCTGGAACATTCTTCTTAGTGTTTGAGTAGATTTTGAGCAGTCGTGGTCTAGGGATTACTAGACTGTTTACCACAGCTGACATGTGATACTCTCAGACAGACAGACAGACATAGGGGAATGTTAAAGATGAAGGAGAGCCATGGAGGACAGAGAAAGGGAAAGACTGTAGAAGAGAGGCTGTGAAAGGTTTCCAATACTATAATTACCCAAACACATTTCTTTCTGATTTGGAGATAGGATCTCACTACTAGCTTAGGCTAGCTGATCCTCCATCAGCCTTCTGCTGCTGGGATCACAAGTGAGTGCCAGCATACCCAGTTACCTGACATATTTCAGTAGTGACATTATTTCAGGTATGGAAGGCCACCAAGCATAGTGGCACATGCCTGTAATCCCAGTACCTTGGGCGGGCAGAGGCAGAAGGATTAGGTTACCCTCTACTGCACAGCAGGTTCAAGGCCAGCCTGGGCTATATAACACTTGTTTCAAAAACCATACAAGCTGGGCATTGGTGGCAGCAAACGCCTTTAATCCCAGCACTCGGGAAGCAGAGGCAGGCGGATCTCTGTGAGTTCGAAGCCAGCCTGGTCTCCAGAGCGAGTGCCAGGATAGGATCCAAAGCTACACAGAGAAACCCTGTCTCGAAAAAAAAAAAAACAAAACAAAAAACAAAAAAAAGCCATGCAAACCAGAAGTCATAGGCAATTTGTCTTAAGTATCATTTAGATTCAGGGTAGGGGGTGGGGTGGAGAAAAAGACTTAATTTTGTTTTTGAGTTGACAAATCATGAAGAGTTTTCGAGACAGGGTTTCTCTGTGGCTTTGGAGGCTGTCTTGGAACTAGCCCTTGTAGACCAGGCTGGTCTCGAACTCACAGAGATCTGCCTGCCTCTGCCTCCCGAGTGCTGGGACTAAAGGCTTGCGCCACCACCGCCCGGCCTCATGAAGAGTTTTCTTAAAGCTCATCGTCCATTGTTAAAATTTTACATTGAGCATTCTGTGTTGCCTTTTGTTTTTGTTTTGTGAAACAGGAACTCACTATGTAGACCAGCTTGGTCTCACAGAGATTGAATTGCCTCTGCCTCCCAAGGGCTGGGATTAAGGGTGTGTGCCACTCCACCCTGCTTCTGTGTTGCCTTTTTAATGAGCAAGCAAACAAACAGCGCATAAAACTGTCCATTTTCAAACATGTACTGAGAGTATTTAAAGTGAAGGAGAGGTCTCGTCCTTGGCTTGAGTATATGTTACATGCAGTCTGTGTTACATCCATACAGTCATGCATCACATGTAGGGTTTCTGTTAGTGACAGACTGCTATATGACAGTCGAGCCATAAGATGATGTCACCAAGCACGGCTGACATGCTGTGTAGGTGCACTCTGGGATTGGATTATCAGCACTGTGTGTTACAGCATTAGTCAGCAGAAATTGGAGACCGGTGTGGTGCACCCGTGGCAAACCCGTGGCACGGTGTAGTTCTTAGGAACGTTGCTCAGCCTGCTCAGCCTGCTCTCATCTTGAACTGTCTCCTACGCAGGAAACTTCTGGGCCTTTGTTTTGCCAAAAATGCTGAGCATGTGCCAGCCCTAGCAGTGGACTAGCCTCTGCTCTTATTGTGCCAGCCCTAGCAGTGGGCTAGCCTCTGCTCTCATTGTGCCAGCCCTAGCAGTGGGCTAGCCTCTGCTCTCATTGTGCCAGCCCTAGCAGTGTAGACCAGGCTGGCCTTGAACTCCCCAAGATCCACCTGCCTGTGACTCTGAAGTAGTGAGCTTAAGGTAGTGTGCCATGGATTTTACAAATCTAGATGGAAGTCGGGTGGCCATTAGTCACATACTGCTTTTGTTCTCTTTGTAGTTTCCAAAGAGGGCAAACGGTCTTCTTTACCTTCCCAGGTCTGCCCAGAACAAAGTGACGAAGGCAGTAGATGCGTTTAGTAAGTATTCTCTGTCTGCAGGAAGTTACCTCCCCATTTCCCTGGTAACTTTGGATCGATGATCCCCCAGTGTTTTCAGTCTTGCAGGTACGCACTTCTAAAATGTATCGGTCTTTGAACCACTGTCTCTCTAATATGGGGATGTGAGGAGTGAATGATTGCTGCCCACCTAAGGAGGTGCAAGGGTGGGGTGGGAAGAGGCCTCAGGTATGGGGGGGGGGGACTCCGTGTGCTGACATTGGGAGTTGAGAGCAAGCCGCAGCAGGCTGCTCCTTGGAGCAGAGCCATGGCTCCAGTGAGCCGGGAGCTAGCAAGAGCAGCCACACTTGCTCACTGAGCATTCTTTTTCCGGCCACAGACTCCAGTAAACTTTCTGTATGGTTTTTTGCTGCCGTGCTCATGGGTGGTTCTGAGGGTTCTGTAGCCAGCCATGATTGACTCTTCCATTCCAGAGAAGAAAGCCGAGCTTTCCGGGACCTGTATGAATTCCACTAGAGCTGTTCACAAGTAAACACAGTTCTGGAGCGTGGAGGGAATTTTATCCATTGGCCATAAGATGAGATGGAGAGCACGCCTTGCTCCTGAGATTGGGAGTGGGCAGCTTAGTAGTTGGCAGCCGGGAACGTGTGATTATCAGTGTCCAGGCGGGCACTTTTACAAACAAGTAGTGCCATCTCACTGACTGCACAGCAGGCTGTCAGGAAGTGCCACCAAAGGGCAACCAGAAGATGGTCAGAGGTGGCTGGAGTGGATTTGAGCCTGGATTGACTTAGCAGGCGGTCAGTGATTCACACGGAGTCAAGCATTCCCTTGGACACAGGCCGGCTTCTGACTCCGGTGTCTGCCCACGGCCTCTTTGCTTCCCAGGAGAGACCCTTGCTGAGGTAGTTACTCTTCTTGGGAGTAGACTGCTGTAGGCCATCAGTTCTCAGGACTCCCCAGTGCATGTGGCCCTTGGGGATTTATGAGTCGTGAGGTCTCTTTTTGCCAGCTGTGGCCTGGCTCAGATGGTACAAGACCTGTTTTTAGGAAGGACCTAAGACATGGATGCCCTGTCATTAGAGCTGTTTAATCTGGCTTTTATACATTTCCTGTGTTGCAGGGATGCATTCTTAATTACAAATTGGGGTTTGGTTATAAGTAAATAGGTTATAGCCAAGTTCCCCGACTAAAACAGGAGGTCACCACCATTGGAGCTCTGGCTTTCCAACCTGTAGTCTAGGAACTTGTCTGCCAGAAGATCTGCTTGTGGTCAGAAGACTGAAGAGAAACTCACGGAAACAGCAATTTAGCAGCTTTTTTTTAAGACTGGTTTTCACTGCGTAGCTCAGGCTTGCCTGACACCTATAGATCCCTCCATTCAGCCTTGTAATTCTAATTCTTGGGGGACAAAAGGGTCAGGAACCTCAACTGCAGACCTGGGTCTGCCGTCAGACTCTGTGAGTCAGGAAGCTCCAGGTGGTTCCAACCCCAACCTACAGACTCCCTGGGTATGTCTGCGTGTCTACTCAAGTATTTTAGTGTGTTTAGTGTTATTCTGGCTTCTTTCCTCTCCCCTCTGGTTATTAAGAGCTAAAAACCCATGAGGACACTGTGTCTCTAGACCATATTTAAGCACTGTGAATAAACATTCTATTTACAGGGCAGACTTAGTTCATGCCTCCTGCATTTTAATCTGAAAAGTTAGGTTGTTTACTGGCTTTGGTGATGAAGAATGCTCTGGCTGAGGGAAATGGTTTTTAGAACTTTTGGTTGCCAATTAAAATCTAGCTAAGGCTGTCCAATTTTTCTCCTTCCAGAAAAGTCTCTGAAGTTATGTGTCACCAAGGAGATGCTCCTTCTAAGCGTTACGACTGCCTACACAGGTAAACGAGCTGTGTGACAACCATGAGACTGGCATAGTAGCTCGGCATCAGAACCTAGGAAATCGGAGCAGGTGTCAGCGCAGTCAGGTTCTGGGGAGGGCTCTTCTAGCTGCCATCCTGCTGTGTGGTCACCGGGCTGCAGAGAGCAGGAGGCAAGCCACCCTGGTGTGTCTTGTCACCAGGGACCCATCCTGTAGGCCATCACCTGAAGGCTGTGCCTGTAAAGCCACTGTGGGGAGTTAAGTTGGTGTAGGCTTTCAGAGAGGACCATCAGGTCATTTACACAGCATAAAGCTGTTCACCTGGGAAGTACTTTAGTCTCTGAGTTATCGTTTATTGTTCATGTGGTATGTGTCGAGCTCAGCTGCTACTGGACACAAGCAGAAGTCAGAAAAGGAGACAGTGGCTGTGTAATGGTTAAAGCTGGTTTCCCTCCCTGAGACAGTGACTGTGAAATGGTTAAAGCTGGTTTCCCTCCCTGAGACAGTGGCTGTGTAATGGTTAAGGCTGGTTTCTCTTCCCAAGACAGTGGCTGTGTAACTGGTTAATGTTGGTTTTCTCTCCCTGAGGTCTGGAGCTCACATTCTTCTCTGGGGTGTACGGGACCTGTATTGGGGCCATAAACAAATTTGGGACAGAAGAGAAAAGCCTGATTGGACTCTCTGGAATTTTCATCGGCATTGGAGAAATTTTAGGTAGGTTGGTTTGCATTTTGTTTTTTAGTTTAAAAACATTTTATGCGCTGGGCGGTGGTGGCGCATGTCTTTAATCTCAGCATTTGAGAAGCAGAGGCAGGCAGGTCCCTGTGAATTTGAGGCCAGCCTGGTCTATGGAGCTAGGTGTTAACAAAGTAAAACCCTGTGGGAAAAAAAGCAACAACAACAAAATAAAAAACAACAGCTGAGCGGTGGTGGCCCATGCCTTTAATCCCAGCAGAGGCAGAGGTAGGTGGATCTACAAGAGAGTTACAGCCTCCAAAGCCACAGAGGAACCCTGTCTCCAAACCCTCCAACCCCCCCCTCAAAAAAAAAACTCTTTTATTCAAAGTCAGACTAGAAAGCTGGTTCTGTAGGAGTTTAAGGTTAATCTTAGCCTGGACATATTTCCGTTTTAAAAAGGAAGAAGGGACAGATATGATGACTCAGGACTACGCTCTTGAGGTTTTTTGTTTTTTTTGTTTGTTTGTTTTTTGTTTTTTTTGGGTTTTTTTTTTTTTGGTTTTCTTTCGAGACAGGGTTTCTCTGTGTGGCTTTGGAGCCTATCCTGGCACTTGCTCTGGAGACCAGGCTGGCCTCAAACTCACAGAGATCCACCTGCCTCTGCCTCCCGAGTGCTGGGATTAAAGGCATGCGCCACCAACGCCCGGCTCACTCTTGAGTCTTGAGAGATGGAAGCAGGGTGATAGAGGAATTCAAGGTCATCCTTGGTTGTCTGATGAGTCTGGGGTCAGCTAGTTAAGACCTTGTCTCAAAAAGAAAGGAAACCAAAAACATATAATAAAGATAGAAATCTTAAGTCTCTGTCCTTGAGTTTGTGTTTTCCCTCCTTATTTTTAATACAAATGGTACATTTTAATTTCCTATCATCACTATTTTCTTTTAACTTACTTGGGTTTTTATGCAGTGTGTGCACACAGGCCACTAGCGGATGTCTCTATCACTCTCCATCTATTTCTTTGAGACAGGGTCTCTCCCTAACCTCCAACACTCCCCCACCCCCGACCCAGTCTTCCCTGCCCTCCTTGTTGCTTGGGTGATGGGGCCTGGGCTGGAGGTGTGCAGTTAGGCAGCCTTAATGCTCCATGGTCAGATTTGCAGTTCTGGCTCTGCAAGGCAGTTTAGAGAGTTCTTTATTGCTCGAGGGGACCATCTGGTGCTCATGGAGGGAGTGCTCCTGCTTGGGGTGATGTCATCACAGGGTGAACTGTCTGTAAGGCTCTGCTGTTTCTACAGTTCAGATGGTTGGCTGGAGACTGGCTGGCACCTTTGTGGGGGTCTGGAGTAGGACACTGACAGTAATGTCCCTTAGGACTCGTAGCTTTGTGCTTTCAGTCTCAAAGTGGGATGAGACAGGTTGGATAGCGTCAGTTTTCACAGACTCTCATAGCAACTAATGTGTGTGTGCAGGGTAAGTCAGAGTGCACTCAGAGTGCCGGGTAGCAGAGATGGCCAGAAAGTAAAGGTGGGGCCAGGCTTTCCCCTGCCTTCAGTTCCTGTGGGCACAGGTGAAGTCAGTGCTGTAGTTAAAGCCGTGTCTAAGTGCCTGTGACAGTCCCGTAGCTCACCCCCCTCAGACTAATCACAAGCTGGGGGTCCCAAGCCACCCTGTCTCACTTGGCTTCAAATTCAGGGTTAAAAATACCTCATGGAGTTCAGGAGAATGGTGTGTACTCTGTTCATGAAGAGGAATACAGGTTAACAGACTGCTAGGGACCCCACCCTGTTCTCCAGAGGGGCTTTACTACGAGCACAAGTGGCTGGGGTGCAGTGTGACAACCGGATCCCAGGTCAGGGTACTGTGCACATCAGCACTTCAAGTGTTCATCATTTCTTTGTGTTATGGAGCTTTCCAAATCCTTCCTACCAGCTATTTTGCAACCTACAGACAATTGTCATTAATCCTAGTTACCCTAGTTACTTTTTTTATTTGTTTTGAGATGGTCTTGCTATGTAGCTCTTGGCTGACCTGGAACTCATTATATAGAATAAGCTAGCCTCAAACTTTGTTGCAGGTATGTATCACCAAGCCCTGTTTACATTAGAAGGTTTTTTTTGTCTTGTTTGTTTTTTTATTTATTTTTATTATTTTAGTTATGTGTATGGGGAGGTATATGCACATGAATTCCAGTGCCCACAAAGGTCAGCAGTGTCAGATTCTCCTGGGACAGGGCTTGTAGGCAATTGTAAGCCACTGATGTGGATACTGGAAATTAAGCTCAGGTCCTCAGGAGGAGCAACATGAGCTCTTAACCAAACACTGAGCTGGCTCTCCAGCCCAACATTAGAAGGCTTGTTTTGTTTTGTTTTGTTTCGAGACAGGTTTTTTCTGTGTAGCTCTGGCTGTCCTGGAACTCACCAAGACCAAGTAGACCAAGCTGGCCCCTAACTCATAGAGATCCACCTGCCTCTGTTTCCCGAGTGCTGGGATTAAAGTACACCACCACTGCCCGGCTCACATTAGAAGGTTTTTGACTGCTAACTTTTTTTTATTTTTTACGTTCAGAATTAAACCTGGAGCCTTGTACATACGAGACCAAGCACTGCACCACTGAGCCAGCATTACCCCACTCCATTTTTAAAATTCTGAGACAGAATCTCACAAAGTTACCCAGGCTGGCTTTGAACTCACTGTAGTTGGGGCAGGCCTTGAATTGTTGCTCCCCTCCCCCTTAGTCTTCTCAGTCACAAGGACTCACAGACATGCTGGCTGCCTTGGCACTAAGCTATGATGGGTGAACCGTCCTGAAAGCCTCTGTTGCCACTCGGTAAGCTGGTAAGCTTATAGCAGTCTGCGGGTTCCCAGTGATTGCTTCCAGTCCTGACTCCTGGACAAGCTATGATTCTAACAGAAGTTTGGGGTGGGTGACATGCGTCCGTCCGTGAATCCACCACAGAAGGTGGAGGCAGGAGCAGCAGTTCCAGGTCTGGGCTACCTGAAACCTGGTCTCAAAACAACAGTAGTAGTTGATGAGCTGCGCCCTTTTAGTTCTCTGATTAGCAGAAATGCAAAGGAAGTTGTTTAGATAATGTAACTGCCGAAAAGAACAGCAAGAAGGGTGCTGTCTAGAAACACACTAATGTTGATGGCTAGCTGTGAATGCTGTGCTCATTCCTACTGTTTGGCCTGTTTGGGGGCAGGTATTGGACATCTGAGATTCATTCATCATAACCTGTGACTGGTTTAGCGATGGGTGGAGACCTCTGAAATGTTTGCCCTAACCCACAGGTGGAAGCCTCTTCGGCCTGCTGAGCAAGAATAATCGCTTCGGGAGAAATCCAGTGGTTCTTCTAGGTACCCTGGTGCACTTTGTAGCCTTTTACTTGATCTTTCTCAACATGCCTGGAGATGCACCCATTGCTCCTGTGGAAGGAACTAACAGCATTTCATACATCAGGCCCAGGTACAGTGGCTGCCATTTTTGAGTGGTTTGGGATGGGCAGGAGGAGTGAATGGCTGGAGGTTTGAAATGGAGCACTTAGTCCTCCTCAGAGTCTGTCGGCTTTGTGGAGATGGAGCTAGGGAGGAGTTGACTCAGACCCAGAGTGTCCCAAGGGAGTTTTGCAATGGGGTTGCATTTAACCTTTCCCCTACCGGTCTCCCTTGGTCTATGCTGGAGTGCAGAAGGGTCTGATCAGTATTTCATTCTCTGCTTTTTGAGCAGGGAACTATCCCAGTGCTAGAGAAGGGACAAAGAGAAATGACATAAGGATGTTGGTTCATTATAGATGCAGTGTCTGTGGATAAACCCACAACCCAAGAGAGCCCAAAAACAGTATTTGCTTTCTAGAGAGTAGACCAGAGTTTGCTAGAACACAAAGATCTGTGCACTTGAGCATAATTTCTTACTGCACAAATTCTAAGAGGTGGGCTGGATTCCTGATACTGTGAGTGTGAAATGTTGGCCTGGAATTTGCAAGGCCCCAGGTTTAATCCCAATAGCACAGACAAGGCCTCAGAAATGTTAGTGTTCATTTGCTCTTGTTTGGGGTATGTGTGCACACTTGTGACTTTAGCTCTGAGGAGGCTGAGGCTGGAGGGTCATGCATTCCAAAGCAGGGCTGTGAGGTAGTACAGTAGCAGGGGGCTGCCCAGGGTTCAGTCCCCAGCAACCCCTTCAAACAAAAAACAAGTGTAAGCAGTGCTTTTGCTGGGAGCCGTGTTTGTATATTCTGGTGGTAATAATATTGGTGCTATACATTCAATTTCTTTTAAAGATTCATTTTTATTTTTGGTTTTTTTGAGACAGGGTAGAGATCTACATAGTTTGGCTATCCTGGAACTCACTCACAGAGGTCTGCCTTACTCTGCCTCCTGTGCTCTGGGATTGAAAGTGTGTGCCTGGCATATTTTTTATTTAAATTATATGTGTATGTGTTTGTGAGGTTGTGAATGTTTGAGTTCAGAAGAGGGCATCAGGTTATCTGATACTGGAGTCACCAGTGGTTGTGGGCCAAGCTCAGGGCTATTGCAGAAGCTGCACACGCCCCTAACCACTGAGCCGTCTTCCCAGGCCTACACCCCTAACCATTGAGCCATCTTCCCAGTCTTATGTGTATTTTTTTTTTTTTCTTTTCTTCAGCAAAGAAGTTGCCATTCTCTGTAGCTTTCTGCTGGGCCTGGGAGACAGCTGCTTCAACACCCAGCTGCTTAGCATTTTGGGTTTTCTCTACTCGGAAGACAGTGCACCAGCCTTCGCAGTCTTCAAGTTTGTTCAGGTAACCTCTGGATTGCACTTCGTGTTTTCATTGGTCACTCTTCCCTTGGGTTTTAAATGAAAGTAAAGTAAGTAGAACCAGGTGTAGTGGGCTTGGTTAGGTGACAGTTGTTTTGTTTTTATTTTTCAAGACAGGGTTTCTCTGTAGCCCTGGCTGTCCTGGAACTCACTCTGTAGATCAGGCTGGCCTTGAGCTTAGAGACCCACTGCCTCTGCCTCCTGGGTGCTGGGACTAAAGGCTACGCCACCACGCCTGGCTGGGTGAGAGATTTTAATTGTGGTCTCTGCACTCAGGTGAAAGACCCTTTCTTTCCTCACACAGGCCATCCTTCTCACTCTGGGCACGTTATCTTTACTGTAGCGCCCACCACTTACTTGCTTGTTGCTTTTGGCCAAGCTTGGGGTACAGTCGTGGGCTGGTGACCAGTGAAGTCTGTCTCCATGGGCTCTGCCAGTCACAGGTGTCCTTTGGGGCAGAAGTAGCAGACTGGCTGGAGCTGCTGTGGCGCTGGGCTCACTTGGTCGTCTATCTGGTTTCTTCTAGTCGATCTGCGCAGCTGTCGCTTTTTTCTACAGCAACTACCTCCTCCTTCACTGGCAGCTCCTGGTCATGGTGATATTTGGGTTCTTTGGAACCATTTCATTCTTCACTGTGGAGTGGGACGCTGCTGCCATTGTGGCCCGAGGCTCTGACTACTGAAGTATTCGATGAGGCCCATGTCTCCGGGAAACACAGCTGGTCATATCGCAGAGCTGGTTCAAGCGGCTGCCTGTCGTTACTGTTGAATGATGTTGAGTCCGGCAGAGTTGGTGTAAAGTTTACAGATCCTCACAGTGTAAAGCTGGAGAATAAGGGAAGCTTGTCGTCAGTTATAACCCTCAGAGGTGTTTGCCCACCCACTTTCCTCAGCTTCTTACAATCATGTCTCCCTCGTCCTCAACCTCGTCCCTCCTCGTGGGAAGATTCTGCCTTGAACGCCATGTGTCACTCAGGATTCTTGCTAGCTATGGAGTATGTTTCATGACTTAGGACCAGGAAGCAGATGCCACTCCACATGTGGATCTGGGAAGGACTTTCAAATAGTGAAGATGCTGAGACACATTGTTTTGAGATAGGGTCTCACTGTGTAGCCCAGGCTGGCCTTGGACTTGCAGCCCTCCCCCTGCCTCCAGTGTTGGGTTATAAAGTGTGCCCAACACAGGGTTTAAAGTGCAGCAGTCTGTTTTGAGATAGGGTCTTGATGTGCAGCCTTGGCTGGCCCAGACTCTGTACTCCGTACAACGCCCCTGCCTTTGTCTCTGCAATGCTGGGATGGTGAGAACACGCCACCACACACACTCGGCATGAGACTTTAGCTTCTCTTGAATTGCTTTGTTGAACAAGTCCTCTTACCCCGCCATTCCTGGCAAGGAGTGGCCAGTTATGTGTCATAAAATGAAGTAAAGACTGTCATCTGTTGATTAATAAAAGCATATTTAGAGAAGTAAAGAATGTTTACTGGGGACTTTTGCTGTGGTTTTCCAATGACAACATTTTATCTTTTAATTCTTTTTATTATTCCATTTGTGTGTGTATGTGCTTGCCTGCTTGTCTGTATGTGACTGTGTGCTTGCAGAACTCATGGGAGTCAGAAGGACAATGGATCCTGGTGAACTGCAGTTATAGGCAGTTGGGAACCATCTGATGAGTTTGCAGTGTCTTAGTTACTTTTTTCTTCCTGTGAAGAGACACCATGACCAAGGCAACATATTTAAGGGTTTACTGGGGCTTAAAGTTCCAGATGGTGAATCACGGCAGCGGGCAGGCATGGAATGGTGACAGTTACATTTGATCTGCAAGCAGGAGGCAGAGCTAACTGGAAATGCCTTGGGCTTTACAGATTTATTTATTTATGTATTTTATGTATAAAGATGTTTTATTTACATGTATGCACACCAGAAGAGGGCATCAGATCCCATGGAACTACAGTTATAGGAACTGAACTCAGAACCTCTGGAAGAGCAGCTGGTGCTCTTAACCACTAAGCTACCTCTCCAACCCCTGCCTTGTGCTTCTGAAACCACAAAGCCATCCCCAGTGACACATCTCCAATAATACCACATCTAACCCTTCCCAAACAGTTCCACCACCTGGGGGAATCAAGCATGCAAATATATGAGCCTATGGGGGCGTTCTCATTCAAACCACAAGCAGCAAGTTCTCTTGACCCTGAGCCATCTCTACAGCCCCATAATGACAGAAACCCCTTGCCTTTTCTCAGCCAGCACCCCTTGTGGGCAGGAATCCAATGAAAACCATCCTCTGTCCCTTGTCACAAGGGGCTATCCTGGGCGACTCAGAACAGGGCAGCTGTGTTCACCAAAGCAAGCAAGTAAGCAAAGCTACAGACAGAGCAAAAACAGGACAAGCCCTGGTCCTTCCTAACTCATAAAAATGCCATCCTGTCACTTCTGCTGGGATGCTGGTCACTGCTTCCAGCATGCATGAAGGGGCAGGGCCACATAGGCCAGGAACACCAGGGTTAATGGTTGACTGTCACACTGAAGCTCCGGCATGAAGAGAAACCAGTCCTGCAAATCCCCAAGCTTGTGTTCTCCCAGGCGCTTGCTGAGGACAGGCCGTGCTTGTGCGGCTGTGTGGGCAGAAGGTGGCTGAGCAGCCTGTCCCTAACAGCCAGTGTCTTCATTGGAGGAAGCCGTATCTTATCAGCGCTTATAGGATTCCTGGTGATTACTGTCAACAGGGAGAGGACATGGGTTGAATGTTGGGAGCCCAACTCTGGTCTGCTTCCTGACAGCTGTGCCATGTTCCTCATTTCAAGCTGTGGGAATTCAAAGCCAGCATAGGGAATTCTAGGCCATCTAAAGCAATATGGTGAGGCCCTGTCTCAAAAAAAAAAAACAAAACAAAAACAAAAACAAAACCAGAAAACAAACAAGAAATGTGGTTGCTGCACAGAGTGGAATAGTATTTATCCTTTAAAGGGGAGTCTGTGGAGAGACATCCTACAGCGAGAGTAACCCTGCAGGGTACTGTGTTGAGTGACCTAAGCCAGACAGCCAAGAGTTAACTGCTATATGGCTCCCCTTACACGAGATACCTACCAGTCAAAGCTTATAAAGACAACAGAGTGGTGGGCTGTAGGAGATGGAACAGAGAGACTGTTAATGAGTTTAGCTTCAGCATTGCCAAGTAAAAGGCATGAAGATCAATGGTAGGGGTTATACACTGTGGTGGATACAAAAGACGATAGGTTTATGAGGCTTCATTAAAAATAGTGTCTTGTGAGGGAGGGTCCCTGAAAGTGTCCTACAGGGAAGTGACCGAGGGAAGAGTGAAAACCCCGTACAGATTGACTTTGGCAAGTCTAATGCCAGGTGTTCATTGTCGGCATATTTAAAATGCAGTACAATTCCGGAGTAAGGTTTCCAGGCAACAGTGAGGTTCAATTCCAGGTGCACAGTAAAGCTTACGGTGTGACTACATAGAGACTCCTTTATACAGTCAGTGCATGTGACCTAGAATCTAGTGTGGTCTCTGGTCACACAGACATCAGCTGGCCATAGAGTACATGTGTCGTCTCCCTAAAGGACGGGTAATGGTCTAGGGAGGAAGAGTCTGGGATAATCATTCTTGGGGGTTAGGGTGACATCTGTCCCTTCAGATAGCAAAAAAGTCACCGGGTCATTCACAACTTCCACTTCTCTGAGTTCAAGGCCAGCTTGACCTACAGAGTGAGTTCCAGGACAGCCAGGGCTTCATAGTGAGGCCCTGTCTCACAAATAAATAAGTAAATAAATCTTGAAAACAATGCGATATTGGGTTAGAGCTAGGAAGTTAGCTTAGCGGCACAGTGCTTGTCTAGTGTGCAGGAGGTCCTGGGTTCTCTCCCCAGTGCTTAGGGTAGAGGTGGCAAGGGGACAACGGCAGCAACAGGGCTCTAGTCCCAGCTGGCTGTTTGGGAGGCTCAAATAGGGAGACTGAAAAATTCTAAGACCTGTTGAGGCAACAGTTCAAAGATAATTTGAAACCCTGCCTCAAAAAGTAAAATGGACATTGAAGAGGCAAGAGAGGTCTAGCCTGATCTACAAAGAGATTTTCCAGCACAGGATGAGACCCTGCTTCAAAACAACAATATTAGCAAAACTATTAGCTGTGTCGGGCTGTATGTGCCTGGGATGCCTGTGTTCTCAAGACTGAGATGGAAGGATTGGTAGTTTGAGGCCTGCTGAGACTGCAGGTAATAAGTGTCTTCGTAAGTGTGCTTGCTCATGCTCTTGATCTGGCTACAGAGACGACTCAGCGCCGAGAGCACTGACTATGCTTCCAAAGGACCCAGATTCAATTTCCAGCACACACATGGCATCTTTCATCTATAGCTCCAATTCCAGGGGAGCTGACTGACACCCCCTTCTGGCCTCCAAAGGCACCAGGCATGCACAAGGTGTACATTTGTGTGTGTGTGTGTGTGTGTGTGTGTGTGTGTCCGACAATGTGACTCAAGCATGTAAAGGCACAGGAACTCACATGGTGGAGCAGAGAATTGACTCCTAAAGTTGCCCTTTGACCTCTACGTGCCTACTCATCCCACATGGGGCACTGACAATAGAGCAACAATAGAGCAAATTAAAAGATCACCAAAATTCAATTTGGAAAACCAGTCAATGTACTGGATTTCATTACAGAGCACTGGTTGGTGAGTGCTGGCTTTCGGGAATGTGGATGGCCCAAAAGGAGCTGTTCCACCAAAAAGTCTCTCCAGTGAGGACAGATGGAGTCTCACTCAGCAACGCTTCCACACAGAATACACTCTAGCATCTCCCAAGACCATGAGGCCTTTCGACCAGGGTAGAAGTGCATACAGCTGCCTGCAAGGTGCAGGGGAAGTCGGTGCAATCAGCCCAGGGAAGCAGTGACCCTCCTCACCGCCTCCTGTGAGGCCCAGCTTTCAGGCCTCAGCGGGTCTGATGTAGATAATGGCTGAGGGTGGCACTCTATAGCAGCTTGTGTCCGAGGGGACCCAAGGACCATCCCTAAACAGGAAATCTGCCAGAATGGTTGGCAGGATTGACTGAGCATGTGGCCATACTCATGGCTAAGGCTTCTTCCAATGTTGTGTCCACTGCTACAGTGAATGGTTGGAGGGGCAAGAATGTGTAAGGAATTGCTTCTCCCCTGCCCTGTGGGATCCAGGGACCCAGCTTGGTCCCCCAGCTTGGCAGCAGGCACTTTCACCCACTGAGCAGTGGTATCAGATCCTCTGTGTGAGTCAGCCACATGGGTGCTGGGGATTGAACTTGGGTCCTTGGTCCTTTGAAAGGACAGCAAGTGCTCTTAGCCTCTTAGCCACTGAGCCATCTCTCCAGTTCCAGGTCCCTCACCCCTTTAATGGTGGGAGTTTGTGGAGAAGCTGTGCTCCGACTGCTAGCCCACTGGGCATTCTCTTCAGCTCCCTTGAGGTGGTGTGAAGGGTTGCACATACCTCCTGGTGGTGGCTTCCTGGTCTGTCTAAGATGGTTGAAGTCTGGAAAGTCTGATGCCCTTGTCAGAAGTAGTTCTGCGCAGTTCTGTGTGAAGCGAGCCAGGGAATTTGAAGAACCGATTGCCATCTGGAGGACTAATGCTGCTGAGGCCCATCTGCGCCTTCCTTGTTTAGTCTTTGTTACAATTTAGAGGTCCATTTTCCTCCTGCAAATGGCATCAGCTCCCGCCTTATCCTTCAGTCTTTTTTGTTTACATTCGGAGCCTGATTGCCTTTTTCTTTTTTATTGGATTAGTTCTCCGGGTTTTGCATTTGCAAGGGCTCTGCTGGGACAGTTGTTACACCAGCTGAAAGCCAAGTCTGCATGACTCATCCTTGATGGGGTGGGAGCATTCTGAGTTAAAACAGCACACCCCCATATGTGTGTGTACGAAATACATGCACCAAGTGTTCTCACTTGGTTTCTCGTTTCTGTGACCAAATAACTCAAGGAAGCAAGGGTTTGTTTTGGCTCACAGTTTTAGGGGGATAGCCCACCATGTAGTTGGGAGGTCCTCCTGGCTATGGTGACATCCAGGTGGCTCAGGAGGCAGAAGGAGACATGTGTCCTCTGCTGGCTCTCTCCTCCTGTCCCATCCAGTCCAGCCCCCAGCACACAGGACTGTGATGCCCACACTCAGTTCATCTTAAGTGTCTTCACTAAAGAGATAATTGCCTGGGGTGTTTATTAACTCAGTCAAGTTGAAGATTTAACTTTCAAACTTGGGTGTCAGGAGAGGTTCACCAGGTGTGGTAGTTTGAATGTAACTGGCCCCCATAATCTCATGGGGAGGGGCGCTGTTAGGTGTGACTTTGTTGGGGTAGGTATAGGCTTGTTGGAGGAAGTGTGCGTGTGTGTGTGTGTGTGTGTCTGTGTGTGTGTGTGTGTGTGTGCGCGCGTGTGTGTGTGTGTGTGTGTGAGCGTGCGCGCGTGTGTGTGTGTGTGTGTGTGAGCGTGCGCGCGTGTGTG